AGCTCTTCAGCTCAAGGCTAGCGCTCTACCACTTGAGCCACAGCGCCACTTCCGGCTTTTTTCTTTTTGCTTATGTGGTGCTGAGGAATCGAACCCAGGGCCTCAGGCATGCAAGGCAAGCGCTCTACCACTGAGCCACCTTCCCAGCCCCCAAATATTGTTTTTAACAGAAGCAAATATACTCTGAAAAGTAGTTCAGAAAATCCAGACAACTATTTAGATAAACTTTAGAAATTGGTAAACACTAAAGAATTATGACGTGACAAAACTCAAAGGCATACTGGGAATGTGGCTTTGTGGTAGAGTGCTTGCCTAGCATACACAAAGTCCTGAGTTCATTCCTCAGTACCACAGAAGCAGAAAAAGCCGAAAGGAGGGTGCTGTGGCTCAAGTGGTAGAGCACTAGGCCTTGAGCAAAAGAAATTCAGGGACAGAGCCCAGACCCTGAGTTCAAGTCCCAAGACCAGCAAAAAACAAAACAAACAAACCAACAAAAAAAAACCCACCTCTCAAAGGCAAAACTTTATATAACCCCAATAAGGGTCTGCTCACACATAAATAGGGGCTCCTCAAGGTATTTTCAAGTAAGGCCTTTTTATCTCTGAAGTAGACTAGAAAATCCTTTCTCTTCTTAGATTGCTGAGTTTATCATCAAAGGGTGATTATTTTCTGTGCCTACTGAGATCATCATGTAGTTATATCCTTTATTAATGTAACTTACATTTTTTTGTTTAGTGTTTTGTTTTTGTTTTTTTTTGGTCGGTCCTGGGGCTTGAACTCGGCCTGAGCGTTGTCCCTCAGCTCTGCTACAGTGCCACTTCTGTAACTTACATTTTTTAAAACGCAGAACCATCCTTGGATTCCAGGAATAAATTCCACTTAATCATAGTTATTGTTTCTCAGTGTTTTGGCTATGATTATTGAACCACAATTCCTCTTTCTAATATCATAAACTTTAAAGGAATTAAACATGTCTTGCTTTAAGAGATAAATCTTAGAAAGAAAACTTAGAAGCTAGTTGCCCACAGATAATTCTACTAAGCATTTAGGAAAGAAGCAACAAACCTTCACAAACTACTGGAAAAATCAATAGAGGAAGAGGGTGATTTTTTTTTTTATCTGAACCTATAAGGTAGAATTAGCTCAATAACAAGAGCAAAACTACAATTAATGAAAACAGCTAGGCACTGGCATGTGCAGGTCCTAACTACTTAGGAAGCTGACATTGGGAATTGTGGTTCAAAACCAGCCCAGGCAGGAAAGTACATGAGGCTTAGCTTCCAATTAACTACCAGAATGAAACAGAAATGGAGAGGTAGCTCAAAGTGGTAGAGAGCTATCCTTGAATATAAAAGCTCAGAAAAGTGCCCAGACCTCAAGTTCAAATCCCAGACTGGCATAAAAAGGAAAAAGAAAACCATAGACTTGATTCTGAAAGTTGGTTAACATTTTTTAAGAAAAAAATTTTTAATTGTTTTTTGTAATAAGTTTTTTATTGTGAAAAATACAGAGGGATTACAATGACATGAGCAAGGTAATGAGTCTATTTCTTATCAAGCATTGTTGCCTCCCTTGTTTTTCCCCTACCATCCCTTCCCTCCCATCTCCACAACTACACTCCCCCTCTTTAATTTTTATTATAAAGGTGATGTTACAGAGAAGCTAGTTATTGTTCTTTTTTTTTCTCTCTCTGTGTATACATATATATATATGTATATATATAAACAACTTAAAATATAGTGTCTGCTGTGAATGGCTCATGCCTGTAACCTATAAACATTATAATTAATTTCTCCAGGCTGGGATATATCTCAGTGGCAAAGTGCTTTCCTAGCAGGTGCAACATTCCAAGTTCAATGCCCACAACCACAATAATAATAAAAATAACAAATTTTCCATAGCACTGTTTTCCTATTAACAATTAAGTTTAAGATGTGACTACTCTAAGCTGGGGGCGTGGCTCAAATGGTAGAGCAAGCATGAGGCAGAGTTCAAACCCAGTACTACAAATAGAAAACAATGTGAATACTCAAAATACTGAAGATTCTCTCAATTCCTTTTTAAAAATAATTTTGAGGGCTGGGAATACGGCTTAGTGGTAGAGTCTGGCCTAGCAAACATGAGTCCCTGGGTTCAATTCCTCAGTGCCACATACACAGAAAAAGCCAGAAGTGGCACTGTGGCTCAAGTGGTAGAGTGCTAGTCAAGTGCTAGTGCTAGCAAAAGCAGCTCAGGGACAGTGCCCAGGCCCTGAGTCCAAGCCCCAGGCCTGGCAAAATAATAATAATTATTATTATTACTACTTTTTATTTTATAGTTCAGTTAAGCTTAACACTTGTTGCCATAACAAAGCATTCAAGCAGCACTTTCCCAACAAGTTGTTTGTGTGTGTGTGTGTGTGTGTGTTTTTCCAGGCAGGAAAAGAAGTTTATTTATCGCACTGCTGCCCCTGCCCTGCAAGGTGGAGAGGTGTAGCTGAAAAGAAAAGGAAGGGCTCCCAACAAGTCTTATAGAAAGTTGTATAGGTTACCACTATGCTTGGGGACTTACTTGTAGTGTGCTAGTCCTGGGGCTTGAATTCAGGTCCTGTATGCTGTCCCTAAGGTTTTTGTTTTGTTTTTAAGGCCAGCACTCTACTACTTAAGCCACAGTTCCAATTCTGTCTTTTTTTTTTTTGGTGGTTAGTTGGGAGATAACAATCTCAAAGACTTTCTTGCCCTGGCTGGCTTTGAACCATGATCCTCAGATCTCAGTTTCCTGAGTAGCTAGGATTACAGGCATGAGCCACTAGTTTTCAGCAAGCACTTTTATTTTCCAAGTTACTCTGAACTACCAATTGTATTTTCCCAGCTCATTACACTCTTCAAAGCAGTTTCATATTCACCACCTTATCTGCCCCTCCCAATTCTCCGTAAAGGTGAAACAAATGGAGACTTTGCTTTTTTTTTTTTTGGTTGTGGGGCCTGAACTCTGGGCCTGGGCCCTGTCCCTCAGCTCCTCAGCTCCTCAGCTCAAGGCTAGCACTCTACCACTTGAGACACAGCACCACTTTCAGCTTTTTCTGCTTATGTGGTGCTGAGGAATCGAACCAAGGGCCTCATGCATGCAAGGCAAGCATTCTGCCACTGAGCCACCTTCCCAGCCCCTTTCGCTCCATTTTTAAAGACATTGAGAACCATCTAGTCCACTTATAAACTAGTTAACCAGTAGTGGGCTTATAATTACAGTCCCAGAAACCTGCATCCATGCTTACCAATTCCCAGAAGCTATCTTGCAGGGCAAAATGAACTCTGTATTAAAAGGATGCATCAGGGTCATTGCCAAAACTGGCAAACAACTCCTGTCAAAATATCAAACCTATGGTCCTTGGAAGATAATGAACTAAGTGAACTGTTTAGTTAAGATAGTAAGAACACTGACACCCACTTTCAGACGGTCAGAGAACTTCTGTTATGTGACTTTCACTGCAATACACAGTGAACTGGAGCCTTCTCTTGATCCATTACCTGCCTTGTTTGTGCAACCTGGATGGTGCAAAGGAGAACTTCCACACACGATCTTTTACTTCTGCTGTGAGATTAATGAAAGCAAATTTACAACAGGAAATTGATTCTACTAATGACCCTTAAAGTTGCTGGAAGAAGATGGATATTAAGACACAGAAGGATTTTAAAAGTCTATACAAATTTTCCTTTGTAAAAAACAGTATTAAAAAAACACAAACAAAATCCAGAACCTTCCATTTCCTAAACTAGAGGTAAAAAGACTTAACTGTGGTTCACCTTTGTCCTCTGAAGCTTTTAATATTCGGCTCAGTTTAACTTCCCACAACTACCAATCACAGAGTCATGCCCAGCAGTTTATACACAATAAGGTCCAGTTCCTTCTTCCATCATAAATGTAATTTCAGGCCTGGAATACAGGACTTAACTAACTCAAAGACTAAGGTATCAGTGCTGTGGACCAAGGCATTCAGACCACAATAATTCGGGGCAATTATTACTTATCTAGCATTTACTTTAGGTATCAGACTCTTTTATCTTATTTTACACATCTCAACATTTTAATCCTTCAAAGTATACCAAGTATCATTACATCTACTATCTAAGCACAAAAGGTGAAAAAATGGCCCAAGTTAACATAGCAACCAAAGGGTAGATGAAACACTTGAACCCGGGCCTTCATCTTCACCATCCAAACTGCCTAGCAGCCCATTATAACCCCAATGTGACCATTAGACTACCTGCATGACCTTGGGCCAGGCATTTCATACCTCTAGGCCTCAGTTTCCTTCACGGTTATAAGTGAGGTACATTAGACAAGCTTTTGGTCGTTTTCTTGCTTTTGAAGATCCGGAGAATCTCCGACTGGATTATTACCGACCCCCAACACACACATCGGGTGCTACAATCGGTAAGACTGAAGTTTTCCAAGCACTGAATGTTCTAGTACATTCTCCTTCTAGTAGAGGGTGTTAGGGTCCAGTTTCCGTTTCGAGGGGCTTAGTTTTCAAGCTCTGTATCTGGAAAGCTAATCCTATATATAGGTAATCTGTTGGTTCGATTCACCATTCCCTACTACTGGGGATCCCCACTAGGCCCGATCCCCGCTCCACATCCCCAAAGGGTTAATTCAGCCCACCTCAGGGTGGCCCGGGCGGCCAGGCCCAGGCCTAAGAAGCCCGAAGAGCGAAGCCACAAGAACGTGTTCGCGTCCTCGGAGGTCAAGGGAGGCCCCAGGACACCTGCCACGCCTCCCGACCCCGGCGGCGCGGCCTGGGCCGGGCTCCCCAGGCCAAGCTGCCCGAATTCCGCCTCTCCCATCACCGCGGGCGCGTCGGCCTGGGCCCGAGCCTCGGAAAAGCCAGCGCCACCCCGCGAAGACCCCGACCACGCCCGACCCCCTCGGCCGCCGTGAGGCGTTCGCACGCCCTCCCCCACCCCCCACCGCCGCCGCGGTCCTCACAGGCCCGAGCACCCGTGCGAAACCTCCCACCTCACCTCAGGCTAACCGGAGACCACAGGCGGTGTCCGCGCTCCTTCCACCCGCACACCTGGCCGCGCGCTGCAGAGGAGACAGAGGCGGAGGCGGCCCGACCGTCACGTGCCGCAGATCCAAAAGGCCTCGGCTACCGCCGCCGCGCGAGCGAGCCCCACCGCACGAAGCCCAGCCCTGCGTCCGCCCCTCTCTCCTGAGTAGATACGACGAGCGCCAAGTCCCGCCCACCTGCGTAGGACCCGAGATTCGGTTGGCCGGTGAGGCTATCGCTCTATATACCTTCCCATACGCCCCCTAGGGCTATTCTTCGTGGAGCGTGGGGATTGGTCGAGAGTGAGGCAGGAAGTGGCTGTTGGTTGGGCTGAAGGCAAGGTGGGGAGGGACGCAATCGGGTGGGCGCGCGCGTCCGGGGGCGGGGCAGGGCGGGGCGGGGTGGGCTCGCCCGCGTTCTCGCTCTTAGTTGCCCCGTGGCCTCAGTGGGCGCCTCGCCCAGCGCCGCGAGCCCCACCTTCCGTGCCCATCCAGATGTGTGAAGCTGGCCCTGGCTTCTGCTGCCCCTCGCTGGATGGGTGCGCCAGGCCGATTATCAGCGAGGGTCGCGTACTAGAGTAGCGAGCGCGGGCCCCGGGTCGGTCCCTGAAGGATCCCCCGCCGTGCTCGGCTGGGACTGCGCCAGCGCTTTGAAAGCAGGCGCCATCCTTCCTGCAGAGTCACGGCTCTGGCCCCGAAGCCTGCAGCCTCTTCTCTGCCTCACGTAAAACTCGAGCTAGAAAGGGATAACCTTAGGTTTGACTTCACTAAGATTGGACGTGCCCTGCTGGCAGGGCTGAGAGAAAAGAACGAGGCGGAGGGACGACTCACCGTCGAGCCGCCATTTTTATAACCGTTGTCAATCTACTGAAAACCGCAGAAAAGGGAAGTGGCCCAGGGTCTGGACGTCCGAGTCTCCCCGCCATTTGCGACTCAGAGCTTTGCATGCTAGAGAAAGACTAGAATTAGTGGGTGTAGTGTCTACGACTACAGCCAGCTACCTCTATTCTTGCCTGCCACTTGGAAGGAGAAAAAGGGAGTAAAGAAAGGTTTGATGTTTGAGTTTAGTGACCTCCAACTACACCAGAAGAGTCTTTGCTTTCCTTATCTCCATTTTTCTAGGAAAGTGAAAAAGCAAAGGAGAACACAAAGCCAGTTCTGGTTGCAATTACTCAGGAGGCCGAGGTAGACAAATTTTTATTTTATTTTTGCCAGTCCTGGGGCTTGAACTCAGGGCCTGGGTGCTGTCCCTCAGCTTTTGTGCTCAAGGCTCGTGCTTTACCATGTTAGTCTCAGCTCCACTTCTGATTTTCTGGTGGTTAATTGGAGCCAAGCGTCTCACATACTTTCCTTCCCCGGGCGGGCGGGCTTCCCACCACCACCCTCACATCTCAGCCTCCTGAATAGCTAGGATTACAAGTGTGAGCTACCAGCGCTCAGTATCTTTGGGTTCTTCAACATCTCAATATACTTAAACGTTAGTTTCAGTGGATTTTGTTCCTTATAACCAAAAACAGCACCCAACTGAAAAGCAAAGAAGCCAGGGAAATTTTCATAGTAAAGCTAATATGCTAATAAAGTTTTTTTTGTGTGTGTGTGTTTTGTCAGTCATGGGGGTTTGAACTCTGGGCCTGGGTACTTTTTGCTCAAGGCTAGCACTCTACAACGTGAGCCACAGTTCCACTTCGAGCTTTTTTAGTGGTTTAGTGGAGGTAAGAGTCTCACAGACTTTTTCTGCCAGTGCTGGCTTCAAACTGGGATCCTCAAATCTCAGCCTTCTGAGCCTAGGATTACAAATATGATCCACCAGAACCTGGCCCAACACACTTTGCACCTGGTTGTTCCCAAACACAACACCGATTTTACATGTGCTGTTCCCTTCTCTCATCTAAAGAAGCCATCCTCCAACTCTCCACTCTCCTTTTGCCTTCCATTCTAGATGGAATTAGTTCTTCCCTCACATCCCCACTAAATTCTCTTCAGTTTCGCCATCTTTTAGCATTTAGATTTGCTGGAGTAACTTGCTCATATACTCTTCCTTTATGTACATTTAAAGTTTTTTAATTGGAACAAGTGACTTCCAGAACTATATTTTTTTGTCTGTTGAGGGACTTGAACTCAGGCTTGTGCCATCCTAAACTGGGAATTACAATGGAAGCTGTACTTTCCTTTCAGGGCTACCTGACCCCCACTTCTTCCCTTCCCTCCTTCTTTAGGCACTTCAATCCACTTTTGATTTTCAGTGCTGGGGGTGGATGGGACCTTGTACCTGCTAGGCAAGCAGTCTGCCACTGAGCCATGCCTTCAGCCCCAGCCTTCATTATCCTATATGGTCTAGTGTGCCTGTCAGCTCTCCTTTTGTATGCTGGCTCCTCAAGCCCAGGACTAACTAAACTCTTTTTTTCTTGGTCAGTTGTGGGGCTTGAACTATGGGTCTGGGCACTGTCCCTCAGCTCTTCAGCTCAAGGCAAGTGCTCACCACTTGAGCCACAGCACCATTCCCGGTTTTCTGGTGGTTAATTGGAAATAAGAGTCTCCCGGACTTTCCTGCCTAGGCTGGCTTTGAATCTTGGTCCGCAGATCTTGGCCTCCTGAGTAACTAGCATTACAGGTGTTAGCCACCAGCGCCCGGCTCCTTTTTTTTTAAATTATTGTTATTATAAAAGTGATGTCCAGCCACACACTGTACAGGCTCATGTCTATAATTCTAGCTACTCAAGAGGCTGAGATCTGCAGACTGAGGTTCAAAGTCACACCAGGCAGGAAAGTCCGGGAGACTTTTTTTTTTTTTTTTGGTCGGTCGTGGGGCTTGAACTCTGGGCCTGGGCGCTGTCCCTCAGCTCTTCAGCTCAAGGCGAGCACTCTACCACTTGAGCTACAGCGCCACTTCCAGTTTTCTGGTGGTTTATTGGAGATAAGAGTCTCACGGTCTCTCCTGCCCGGGCTGGCTTTGAACCGCGATCCTCAGATCTCAGCCTCCTGAGTAGCTAGGATTACAGGCGTGAGCCACCAGCGCCCGGCTTCCAGGAGACTTTTATCTCCAATAAACCACCAGAAAACCAGAAGTGGCTCTATGGCTCAAGTGGTAGCATGGTAGCCTTGAACTGAAGAGCTGAGAGACAGTGCCCAGGCCCAGAATTCAGGCCCCATGACCGACCAAAAAAAGAAAAAGAAAAAAGGTGATGTACAGAGGAGTTACAGTTACATAAGTCAGGTTATGTACACCTTTCTTTCCTTTCTTTTTGTTGTTGTTGTTGGTGGTGGTGGTCATGGGGCATGAACTGTGGACCTGGGCACTGTCCCTTAGCTCTTCAGCTCAAGGCTAGCACTCTACCATTTGAGCTACAGCACCACTTCTGGCTTTTTCTTCTTATGTGGTGCTGAGGAATTGAACCCAGGGCCTCATGCATGCAAGGCAAGCGCTCTACCACTAAACCACCTTCCCAGCCTTTTTTTTTTTCCTTTTGTTGGTCTTGGGTTTTCTGGTGGTTTACTAGAGAGAAAGAGTCTCCCAGACTTTCCTGTCCAGGCTGGCTTTGAACTGTGATCCTCCTGAGTAGCTAGGATCATAGGCGTGAGCCACTAGCACCAAGCTGGACACATTTCTTTTTGGACAATGTTACTCCTTCACTCCTCCTCCCCATTTTCCCCCTCTGGAAGTCCTTTTTTAAAATGTATTTTATTCATTTTAAAGTCACAAACACCTTTTAATCTTTTTTTTTTTTTTTGGTCCGGTCTTGGGGCCTGAACTCTGGGCCTGGGCGCTGTCCCTCAGCTCTTTAGCTCAAGGCTAGCGCTCTACCACTTGAGCCACAGCGCCACTTCCGGCTTTTTGCTTTTTGCTTATGTGGTGCTGAGGAATCGAACCCAGGGCCTCGAGCATGCAAGGCAAGTGCTCTACCACTGAGCCACCTTCCCAACCCCACCTTTTAATTTTCACAATGACAGTCATCATTTTAATCTACATTGCTTATGAATTCTATGACCTTTCACAATTAAACAAGTCTTTTACAAGTTGGGTGATATGTACATTTCTTACCTTTTGCTTAGTATCAGCTGTTCCCTCTTTCTCTCTCATTCCCTCTCTCCCATCACTGCAACTGGGCTTTTCTATGTACTTGAGACTAATGTGTTTGAGGAAAGTTTGAGTTCTGGAGTTCAGGAATGGAATACATTCAAATGTATTAAGCAATCTATCCATGTTGTGCTGTTGAGTGCCATAACTGAACTAAGAAACATAGTCATGCATGTCTTTCTATAATGTCAGAATTTATTGAGCAGCAGTAAATTCACAGTAGCAGTGACAATTTTGCTGGTGTTAATTCACAAAGTTCTACTAATTTCACTCAGTCCTAAGCCTATTAGCAAATTGGTTTTTATTCTAATCTTAATAATATTAACTCATATCACACATTTCACTTCATAATGACTTACAGGAGAATGGCTAATGAAAGGTTAAAGTTGCTCTAGGGCTCAAAGGTGCCTTGCTGAAGGCAAGTACAGAGCAGATACAAATGAAAAGAGCATCACTGCAGGTGGTTAGATATTAACCCAGTCCCAGAGCCGGTGATGGCAACTGCACAGAGTTCTCTAGGGATAAGAGTTGGTTTCAGGCTTAATTTCTGGGCCTGGGCCAGGCAATTGCAATTTAGGTGGGTCATCTCCAGCAGGGAGACCCAGCTGAGCTGCAGCTCTAGGGACAGAATTCTGTTGTTACCTGTTGATCCATGAGGTCTGCACATGATAGTTCATGGTGTCACCCTACCCCAGAGTGTTAGGTGCCCCTCCTTTTATGTGATTAAGGTAAAGGGGTGTTGCGTCCCTGGTCTAGTGTGTTGGATAAACTCGTAGGCTTTGTTTTTCTGATATGATTTTAATTTGAATTCAGGGCTTTGCACTTGGTAAGGTAACACTCTACCACTTGAGTCATGGCATTTTTTTTTTTTTTATTGTTGGTTGTGGGGCCTGAACTCTGGGCCTGGGTGCTGTTCCTCAGCTCTTCAGCTCAAGGCTAGTGCTCTACCACTTGAGCCACAGTGCCACTTCCGGCTTTTTCTGCTTATGTGGCGCTGAGGGATCAAACCCAGAGCCACCTTCCCAGCCCCTCATGGCATGTTTTTTACTAGTTGTTTTTTAGATAGAGTCTCACAAA